GCGAGTCAGGGAGATGCCCAGCCGCCCGCTGGCCCGCTCGTGGCTGTCGGCAGGCAGCGTCTTCAGCAGGCAGCCGCGGATGGTCTTCACCAGGTGCGGGAAGGCCACGTTGGTGCAGAAGAGGCCGAGCAGCAGCTGGCGCTGGCACTCCTCCCACTTGGCCAGCGCGTCCCCGAGCAGGAGGCTGTTGCGCATCCAGCTGGGCAGCGCCTCACTGCAGGCTGCACAGGACAGCGGCACTGAAGGCAGCGACTGGGCACGACGCAGCTCCACCTGCTCCGACAGCCTGGGCAGGAGGGAGGGCGTCAGCGGGCGCGGCGGGCTGCAGGCCGGGGCTCGGCAGGGGCGCTCACCTGGAGGGCAGGTGGCTGCCCAGCTTCCTCTTGGCGCGCATCACCAGGTACTGGCAGATGCTGCCGGTCTGCTCCTTCATCCACCGGATGTCCTCGGGGACGTCAGGCAGCCACTCCAGCAGGCTGGGGGTGCAGGCGGGGTCAGGGGCCTGGCAGGTGGCCGCCCAGCTCCGCGGCCTCAGCTACCTGTGCCCCTGCCCTGGGAGCCCCGAATCGGCCTCTGGCCGTTCCCGCGTCCAGCTGCCTGTTTCTGGGGTGACTGTCACTCACGGGGGATCCCGAGCCTTCGCCTCCCACCCGCCCCACATCCCATTGCCCCACACCGGATGGTGAAGGACACGGCGCTCTCCAGCGGCAGTGTGTAGGGCACCATCATGGCTGTGGCCAGGCGCACGGGCAGCATGTTGGAGAGCGTGGTCAGCAGGTCCTTGGGCTCCACGCAGGCTTCCAGCAGGGCTGCGAGGCGAGGGGTGCAGGAGGGAGGTCGGCGGCGGTCGGGAAGGGGACCTGGCCCTGCCGCTCACGCTCCGGCAGCCAGCGGGGTGGCTGTGTTCGCCCCAGAGCTCCCAGGCCCGCCACCCGGCGCACCCTCGTTGAGCCGCGCGGGCAGGCGCTCCAGGATGTGATCCTCGCGAGCCGGCAGCGCCGCGCCCTCCGCGGCGGCC